AGAAGTATTTAATAAGGAATAAATCTTCTTACAAACAAACAAAGGCTTAGATGGCAGCGTTATGTTGATTTAAGAACTTATGGGGACTGATGGAGAGTGACCTGGCCAGGGTGAACTCTGCCTTCTGCCTATAGACTGCTGCCGATCAGCACCCCCCTCTGACCCCAACAGACAAGCGGCAGATTTTACTGGTATTGTTTCTGCAGTGTAGCAAAGAAAGCCTTAAAATAGCAGCAGCAGAAGAAGAAGCAGATGATAATCCTGGTTATGAATAGCGTCCCAGCGCTACCTGTCTGAATCCATCTGAGAAGTTATTCTTGTAGTAGCGGATCATAGAGTTCCAGCCGTCCATCAGCAGCCCCCACCTGGTCCTCTTCCCCGTCCTGATCAATAAAAAAATAAAATCATTTTCACCAACAGAACGATACCATAAGCTGACGGAGGGGCCGTGGAACTGCTTTACCTGGTAAAGTCTGTTTTTAAGGCTCCGGTTCCTGCATACTGCACAGCGCATGCATTAGCATTGTCAGCCCATGCTGTTAGAGAGCAAACAAAACCATGACCACACACTCCAGTGGAAAAGGTACGACCAATCACACGAAGATGGAGCATGCTGCACGAGGCTCACCGTTTTTGTAGACTTTTTCAAACTCGGCCTGCTCTTCGATGCGCTGACCCACATTCAGGACTCCCATCCTCTGTGGAAACAAGAGAACACAGGTCTGTGCCGACACCCCCGCTAAGGCCGTAGGGAGGAACCAAGTCTCTCATCTGTAAAATGGCTGTTGGTGCTTCAACGAGTAAAAAATGAACCTGATCAGAGGGTTTTTAGATCAGTTTTTGTTTGGATGAAACTGTAAAATTTATTTGGGCAGCAATACTTCCTCTCATTTCCAAATTTTTTGTTTATTCATCTTTGTAGTGTTGCTTTATTTGGAGGAATTTTCTTTCAAGGTTTTTAACGCTTCACACCCGGAGGGATTTTTTCCTTCCTATCGTTTTGGAAGTTTAGTAGATTCAAAAGCATAACAATGAATAGATTTTCATTCATAGAACAGTTGCTTAATAACTCAAGAATCAAATAACTGGATATATTTGAGTGGGAAGGCCCTGAAGGATCATATTTCTGACTCCAGTGTCTCAACTTTCTAAACATGCCTCCCTCTCCCTGTCTTAATTTAGAGATCTTCATCTATAATGGAAAAAACAGAATCATATCTGCAGTCACGTCATTGGGGTCTTAGAACAAACACATCTAGGATGCTCCAGTGTTTATTCCTGGAATACCTTCAGTAATACTGAAAACTACAGGAGCTACTTCCTGCCCGCAGCCATCAGAATCTACTAGGACTTAAATCAGAGTTTTGAGGTGTGGAAATAAAAATGTAATGGATTAACCTAACTGATGAGCCATGCAGCGCTGTAGACTGAGGGATTCTGCACAGCTTTAGTCAGTGTTTAAAACATATTTTGTTTGTAATAAGTCCAACTTTTACTATTCTTATTAATACCTTCATTTTCACACATTTACGGATCGAGCACTTGAGCTTTATATTCCTTTC